AGGGAAGGCCAATTTATTGAGAATGACGGCGTGCAGATCCGACTGGCAAAAATGGACTGTTTGTTGGGGATAACATCAACATAAATCATAACATCGGTACTCGCCACTAGCTAAAGCCGCCATGGACAAGCGATTTGTCAGCTTTTTTGAAATGAAAAGATTCTTTTTGCTTATTGAAAATTTAGCGGCATCTATTGTAGAGAACGTTTCGAGACAGGCTGACGAGCAGCCGCTCTGCAAAACTTATACCCGGCGGAGTGAATTGTTCCGGACAAATCATTTTTGACGTGTCGACAAGGTTTCAGACGAGATAAAGCCACACAGTAAAAAAAAAATTAAATTTTGCAGCAATCGCTCATAGTTTTAACTTTCTTTTATCATAAATCTTTTTTATTACAGTTCTTGCAATTGCCTGCAATGTTTTCTATTAGAGAACAAAGTAATTTTACAAATCTGGTAATCCAGGGGTAATCTGTTCGTTATGTTTCTATTTTGACGAGCTGTCAATTTACAAATGAATCGAACCGTGAAATATCAAGGGGTGTTTTCCAGAATCGTGGGGTTTGCGGGCAAGCGTTTCTTCTTCTCCCCTCCCCCTCCCCCTTCAACCTTTTTTTTGCTTCCGCTCTAACTTTCGCCCAATAACTCGATTGGAAACGCTTGCTACGCAGGCTAGTGATCTTGCCTTTCAAACATTCCTGGGAAGGGTAGTTTTTTGTACCGAGTTAAATTCACCTGATTTGAAACAAAAGGGCAAGAATGATTGACTCTGTCAAAATTAGTTCAGCTCAGCAAGTAAAACGAAGTGGGAAAGATCACAACGTCTTATAACTATATCAACGATCAAAAACTCTCTCTATCCAAGTGAATTACATGCATGCAGTGATTTTATTTTGGCCAGGAGGTTTTGATAATTTTCTTCTACATGTAAGAACTTGAAACAAAAACGGGCTTAAACACATCATAAATTAAATAGGGTTCAGTGAATCTAATCACCTTTGAACGCCATATTCTTTGAGTGCTTTCGTAAAAAGTTGTGGTCCCTGCAATAACAGTTTTCCCTTTGCCCTGCAAACAAAACATATATTATTTTGTGGGGGGATAAAAAAAATGACAAAATGAAAATTTTGTTCGATTTCTATTACTTTCACATATCAGGTCTCCCATCCTATACCATGAGAATTTTTGCTGTTGGTCACAATACAGTATGTTTAAAGTTTGACTTGGTAAGTTACCAGTAGAAGACAAAAACATAGCAGCAAATTAAAGTAGAAGGTGTAAAATAAGCAAAAAAAAATTAATGATTTAGATGGTACGATTTTTGCTTAGGACTATCGTGCGCGACTAGCATATACATGTATGTCATGACTCCATGGCAGATTGTGTTGTGTAAATTAGTCCCATGACGCCCATACGACATGTGCAGTGTTCTCCCTAAATTTTAGCTCAGCAGGTAAGGGACCATTCATGGCCGGTAAGGCAAAAAATATGCACCAGAGGTGCACTTTTCTGGGGGGGGGGGGGGGGGGGGGG